TGATATGTTGTGGGGTTGTTAACCAATGTTATAAAACAACATGTGTACTTCTGTTTCATGAGAAACTATTTGTTCTGTAAGCCTTCACCTGAAATACAATAAAAAATAAAAAAGTAAAAAATAAAAAAAATGTTAGTAAGGAAAAAAAAAAGAAAGACACAAGCAGAGAGACATGGGGACCTCATACCACCAAGAAAGCAGTGCCAGGAGCAGAGTGAGTCCTTTGGACCTGAGGTTCCTGTGCTGAGATGCTCCCAGACCAAGGGAAGACTGATACATCACAAGGACTTTCCTCCAGAGCCAACAGACACAGAAAGCCTTCCCCGGGAGCTGTTGCCCTGAATTTGGACTTGCAGCCTACTGGACTGTGAGAGAATAAATTTCTCTTTGTTAAAGCCATCCACTTGTGGTATTTCTGTTATAGCAGCACTAGATGACTAAGACAGTGCATAAACCCCTAGTTTCTCCGTGAAACACAGTAAGGACCTCACTGTTGCTGAAGGCACAAGTTAGGGCCACATGAAGCCAGAAGTGCTGAAGCCAGGCGGTCAGGTAATCCCTGGCTCTAGAATCAGCATGAAGGCAAGAGGCAGGATCTTAGGCCACGTGTCTGGTCACGCTCTGCCTCGGGGCACGGCGTGTCCTGCCCAGGCTCTGCAGAGGATACAACGAAGTGAGCATTGGCCGGCCCTCGCCAGCCCCGTCCTCCCCGTTTCTAAGCAAATAAGCCTGTTTGGAGGGTCACTTTTCCTCCTGCTGCTTAGAAGCGACTAGGGAACACCTAGCCCCGTGGGTCTGCATTTCCACTCCACTTTATGACTTCATCCACCGCCAAAATTAATGAGCATTATGAAATCACAGAGCTCTCAGGTCCCCGACCTCACTGTGGTGCCCCCTCTGCCTGGGCACGCCTCCTCCACCGTCTCCACAGTGCCCCGAAGGTGGCTGCTGCAGGGCGCCTCCTCCCAGAGCCCCCCCAGGGTGATGCAGCATCAAATGGTTGAGCCAACTAGGCCGCACCCACAGACACCCCCTCAGTGACCCTGCTCCTCGCGAGGACCCGGTAGGGAATGGAGTACACAGGAGCGTCCACCACGACTCTCTCAGCCCCGACGCAGACCTGGGCTTTTGGACAGTAGGACGTGAAGCAGCTCCTCTGGCTAGATGAACTTTGACCCACTGAGCCTCAGTTTCCCCACTTGACAAGGGGCTAATCCACCCACCAGCAGGCTCCTGTGAGGGTGGGTGGGTCAGGTCTATAACATGCTCTCTGCTCCCTTGGAGCGTGGCTCTGGACCCCACGTCTGCAAGGGTCACTGAGCAAACCTTGGGGTCCCCTCCAGTTCTGGGCTCTGTCTTCGTGACTGAACAGCGACTTGGTGAGGAGTAAGATGTCTGGCCCCAGGCTTGCTCGGTGCAGTGAGTGTGCTGAGGGAGGAGGGCATGGCTGGGGCCCTGAGTCCAGGCGGATGGGACTTTGAAATGGCTGGTCTTGTGTTCTGTGAATGAGGCTGCATCAGAGCCTGACTGCTGTCAGCACCAGCCACTGTTCTCGGGGAGAGTCGAAGTCCGGCCCACGCAGACCCTCAGCACCATCTCCACCCTCCTCGGAAAAGGGGAAATCAGGCTGGTTTTCTTTGCCGCCGGCTGGGCTCTGAGCAGGGTTGGCGGGGTGGCACACTATGAAAACCCAGGAGGCGTCCGGCCCCGAAGGCCCGCGCTGGGGTTCCGCAGTTGGCCCTGCCGTCAGCCCTCGGGACCTCTCCTGGCTCCCCTGGCTCCCTCGCCTGCCCCACGGCTTTGGGCGAGCCAGCAGAGAGGTGGAGCTCCATGGCCTCCAGGGAAGCCCTCTCTTCGGCACTCACGCTGACCCCCAAGTCCAGGCTGTGCCCTTCCCAGTCCCACCTGCTCATCCTAGGCTCTACCTAGGATCCAGAATCAGTCAGAGCAGGCAAGCCCGTGCTCAGACCCTGCCCACCACCCACACAGCAGGCATCGTTCATGGTGCTGAGAGGAGACCCCCCCACCGCTCACACTCTGGCTGAACTTGACCCCCAGGCCCTCAGCACAGAAGTGTTTGTGGAGCCCAATGATGGACCTCCTTGCTGCTGGTCTGGTGGTGACTGCTGTGAGCAGGGATGTCCTTGTCATGAGCTGGGCGTCAGGTGGGGATGGGAAGAGGGGGGGAAGGGCAGAGGCAGGATAGAATGGAGAGAGGGAGCTCGTCAGGAAAGAAGAGTGTCCCAGGTCGCCTGGACACTGAGGTGGGCTCAGAAGTGCAGCCAGCCCAGCTCGCACGTGGTGTTAACAAGAACCTTCCTTACCTGAGGTCTGTGCCTGTGGTCTCTGGGGGTGCTGGTGAGAGGGGGGGGGGAGAAACACAGGTGAAAGTTAGAGCACAAAAGACTTGTTTCCTAACAGCCCCGAGCGCACGAAAACTAGGCCCCAGATCTGCCAAGTGCAGTGTAGATAATCCTCGTGAGAACTGAACTGATCTCCAGGGCCCTCTAGAATCTTCTCCAAGGTCTAACGGAGCACGCTGCTTCCTCCTCACCCCAGGACCCAGGACATGCTGAGGGACGGCAGCCTCCTACTCTAATTGCAGGTGGGCTTCTCCTGCCAGGGCAGATGTCCAGATGAACCGGACAGAGGGGAGGACAGACAGGCCAAGCAGCCAGCCCACCACCGAGACAGGTGACTGCCAGGGAGGACAGTGAGTTCCCAGGATGGCCTGCGGGGAGGGGCTAGAGACCTGGCCCACACCATGGGACCCTCGCCCAGTACACCCTCAGCACGATGCGCCCTAAGAGTAGCCTGGGCTTATCCTGGCGGGGGCTGCACTCACGCCCGAGCGAGACCTCCCACTTGCTGTTCCAGCCCGGGACCTCCAATCCCCACCAGCACCGAGACCTTGTCCTGGAAGGGAAAGAGGCCTAGGCAGGAAGTGCCGGGTGTGGCGAGGAGGCGCCGCGTCTCTGCACCAGGTAGGCTCCTGTGCAAAGGCCCCCAGCCGGTCCTCCTGGGCACATGCCTAAGCAGCTGAAGGGCTTCAGGCACCTGCTGGGGGCGCTCAAGTGACATGAGTCCTGCTGTGGGCTTGTCCCTGAGGACACCGTCAGGGAGAGTGTCCCAGTGAGGCAGCAGCCTGGCCTGGGCACTCACCTCGGCCAGTCTTGGACCGCGTACGAGCCCGCTTGTCCTCATTCTCTAGGCTCATCTGTAAGTAAAACAGCCACAGATTAGCGAGAACCCCAGGGTCCAATCAGTTTCTGGCCCAAGCTCTGGCTGTGAAGGTGGACTCTGTCCCCAGAGATGAGGGGAGGCCTGGGACCAGGAGCATCAGGTAGGGATGCTGCCGGCAGAGAAAGTTCTACCTGTGGGTGCCCTCTGCCCCCCACCCGAGATGGTGTCGGAGTCACCTGGGGGACCAAGGCATCAGGGCCACCCCCAGCCTGGAGCGTTCAGAGATTAGCTGCCCGCAGGAAGCACCACCCTGCCTGAACAGTCAGACATCTGTTGGCCTCCAGACCCCAGCAGCAGGCATCTGTGCAGGCCAACCGCTGTTTGCAGCATTCGGTTCTGGGCAGCCCAGGGAGACACTTCCCTGGGGAGGCCGTCCCAAGTATGATGCCGTGGTTCTGACCGTGTGTACTCTGTGTGCACAGAACCGTGCTAGGGCCAGCGGTGTCACCCCACAGAATAGGGGTGAGCCACCCACAAAACTGTACATACCCTAACGGCCACATTAAAACGTACAAAGAAGCAGGTGAAAAACTTAACACTAAGTTTTACTTAACCCAGTATATCCAAAATATCATCATTTCAACATGAGACCAGTATAAAAAACTATTGGTGGGTATTTTCCATTCTTGCTCTTCACCAGCTGTAGAGACCCACTGCATGTCTCGCATCTCCAGATTCAGGCCACATCTCAGCAGCTCAGTGGTCAGAGCATCGGGGCTACTATGTCGGGCAGTGCAGCTGGGAGCAGAGAGGTCTCGGGTGAGAGCCCGGCAGAGGCTGGAACCCGGGCCCCAAGGCTCGACCCCATGCATCCTCACAGCCTGCACCCATCGCACCCCCAAGCCCACCCCCCCGTTCCTTGCTCCTGCCCACAACCTCACCCAGCTCAAGGTGTCGAGGGGGAGCCCCCAGCAGGTGACAGTCACAGAAGAACTGGGCCTGGGGACAGGGGTCACTGGGAAGCCCTCAAGGGGGAAGCGGCCCCAAGGCCTGAGGGTCACACGCAGACTCCTCTGTGACAAATCCCGGTGCCCTGGGCTCAGGGGGAGAATGTTCTCCATAGAAAGAGGCCAGCTGGCCAGGCAGCCAGGCAGTGGAGGGAGGTGGTGGTGGTGCCTGTGCCTGGCGAGTGTCGGGAGCCAGGGTGGCATCAGACACGCTCCAGAAGGCCTCACCCCACATGGTCAGGAAGGGGAGGGGCATGTCGAACCTGCCCAGAGCAACCCCACACAGAGCCCCAGACAGCCAGGGCTGCGTTTGTGAGGTTGCCACGGGGACAGGCAGCATTTGGGGATGGAGGAGAGGAGGGAAGGGGGGACGACAGGATAAAGTCCGCAAGGATTTTCGTTTCTAAAAGCCAGCAAGAGGCAAATGTCTTGGGAACCACCCAGGAGGAAAGAAAAAGGAATTCCCCAAAATTAGTAAGACAAAATGTGCAAAGGGAATTGCCCCTATGCAGCAGCGCTAACAAATAATGATTGAGGTGATTTGTTAAGGAAGAAAAATCAAAAAACCTAGGGTAATTTATGCAACTTGTCAGCCTGGGCAGTGGGCCTCACCGCGTGCTGTGTGCTCGTTACAGCCCCCAACAACACCGAAGGTAATCACTGTGATTTCTGTTATTAAAGCAGAGGCTCCCTATGGGCCGATGGCTCACATGTAAAGGGAGGAGAGGAGCAGGTGTCAAAGGGCCTTCATGACATTAACAGCCTCGTTCCGGCTCTCCGCGCAAGTGCCTCCGAGGCTCCACAATGGAGCTAATGCGCCTGATTGCTGGGCCCGCTCAGCTAAAATGCAATCTACAGCCTTTTCTGCCAGTTTTCCCAAGGAAATTTGCGAGCATTCTGCTAGGTTAGAGCCTGCCTTGGCAATTTGGATTTCCTGCAGATAAATTATTCAAAAAGCAGAGAGTAGAGAGGGTTGCAGAGATTCCTAATGGGTGCTGCTTGCAACCACATTCCCTTCACGGAAGCTGACAGCTGCCCGTCCATCCAGCAGTGCCTTCCATTGCTGACTTATCTGCATCAAATGGTCAGTAAGCGAGAGGGTTTCTTCCCTTCATGCAACTCAGATTTTAAAAGGAAAAACTCCGAACTACAGAGGAAAAATCAGGCTCTTCACTGTGAGAATGAGCTGGTGAAGTGTGGTGACTTAGGCCGTCAACAATGAAGCAGGGAAACTGATTTCTGGGTTGTTTGGAACCAGTGGTGGTGGTCGCACAGATGCTCTTGGGGACAGGCGCAAGGCTGGGAGGAAGCAGCAGTCCACCTTTACACCACCTTCCTTTCCAGAAGATGTCGGTGCTGTGTACCCAGCACCCGGCACCATGTCTGCTGGCCTGGTGGCCATCCACCCCAATCACACGCCAACCAAGCTGTGCCCTGAAGGACATCTCTTTGGCACAAAGACAACAAGTCACTTCCCAATGTTTCCTTCATTTTTAAAAAAACAAAAACAAAAGGCTGTGACTTATTCCAAGCAAAAAACAGCCAAGTCCCTGTTTCTGCTTAGCCAACAGACAACCTGGCTGACCCTGCTGCGTCAGATAGAGAATGCCACGCGGACGCTGGCTGCAAGGGCTCCAACTGTCTCAAGAGGGACATTGCTTTTGGCTCCTTTGACCACCTCCCGTGTGGTCCAGTGTGTTTCACAGGCTCTGTGCTCCACAAACCTTTTGTACCCGGCAGTTCATGTAACAACCATGCACTTTTTCAGCCTCTGGGGTTTACTGGGAAGCTGCTGTACCACTGACAGTGCAAGCTGCCACAGGCAGGGGCCTTTATGACTGTTTGAAACCAAAGAAATGGGCATGTGCTGCAAATTACTGTTTTTACTGGGTATTGTATGAGGTGTCTGAAGTTTTGGTAGGAAAAATGGAAATTTTGTAAATTTTTATTTGTTACACTTATGTGCCAGAAGACCCTGATGGGGACTCTTGGGTATAATTAGTAGTACTTCACATGTAGCGGAGCCCTGGTGGTGCAGTGGTTAAGAGCTCGGCTGTTAACCAAAGGGTCAGCAGTTTGAATCCACCAGCTGCTTCTTGGAAACCCTTCTTGGAAACGGGACAGTTCTACTCTGTCCTATAGGGTCGCTACGAGTGGGAATTGACTCGATGACAAGTTTGGTTTGGTTTTCATATATACCACTAAACAGGGAGGGGGCAAGAAAAACAAATCTATACTACCTACCAAAAATTCAGACACACTCAATGATTCCGCATGCTTCCATTAATGAAAACACATAATATCAACAAAAAATTCAAAGCAGAAAATAACCGGGTCACCAAAGGGTTAAGTCATTTATGGGCTCTGGTCACTGTCTGAGGAGAGCGACGGGAGGGGCAGACGCACCCCGTTTATCGCCTCAGCACATGGAGGGTGCTGTCACTCATCAATCCGTTCATTAGCATCATACAAAAGTGGGCTCACTTGAGAGGGCGCTTTTGCTTTGTTCTGTTCTGTGTTTCTTTTTCAGTGAAGTCAAGATTAACCACGTAGCTCTTTTCAAATGCACACGGTTTTCACAAGGACTGGCAATGAGGACCAGCCCCTTCAGACTTGCTGGGTAGCCCTGGCAGGACTGAGCTCTCTGACGTTAACCTTTATACACTCGGGGCCAAGAAGGCCAGTGAGAGGAGTAGCTTTGAGAAGGGCAAAGCCTCACTTGCTTATCTTTAGGGGACGTGGCTTCCCCAGCCTCCAGCACTGCCGGAGTTGGAGCTGGCACAGGGTGTCCTCCAGGCCCGGCAGTTCTGCACCAATCTCCCTCTGAGGTGGAGGCTGCCAGCTGGCCCAGGGCGTGAGGACCCTGCAAGGTACCCCTGCTCTCCTTTCTCTTTGGTTCCTCCAAAGGACCTGAGAACTTCCTCCCTCCGGCCCTGCCCTGCCCTCCTGCACAATGGTCCAGGGCTGCTCAGGGGACAGTCAGTGCAAAAGCCCAGCCCATGCCAGCCCAGGCGATGGAGCCTCGGGACCTGGCCCTCATCCGCCCTCAGAGCACTGACTCAGGCAACACTGGCCTGCAGCTGGGCCCAGAGCAAAGGCCAGAACTGATGCTGGGTCATCTGCAGAGAGATTGCTGCCGTGAGACAGGAATAAGAAGTCCTCGTCCCAGCCCATGCGTACAGCACAAGGACCGCTCGTAACTGTGCAGACCAGGCCCGAGGCCACCAGGGACCACCTGCCCGGGAAAGCCAGCCCTCTTAGGCAGCCAGCAGGACACTATAGCCTGGTGGAAGAGCCCCGACGGCCTTGGCTCCCTCAACCACATCCGTGTTCGAGTTAGGATGGCGACAGCATCACGGCCCAACCTTCCCAAGTGTGACGGCTGCCCCAAAGGCACAGCCCAAAGGACAGACTGTCCCAGAACAATGCTCCTCTGCTGACTCGGAAGCAGCCTGGCACTTGGTGGCCGATGCAGGGCCATCCCCATGATTGAGAGCCCCGGCCTCCAAGGCCACCATTGCCCCACAGGCTGCCTCTGTCACCGTTTGTAGACCCCTCCTGGGTCCCTACTTTCTTCAACTGCTCTTCACATGTTCAGTCCCTACCTGCCCCTTCCTGGCCAGGGTCCCCAACAAAGTGAGGTGCCCAGGGGGCTCAGGATGAGGTCTGGGCAGTAAGGGGAGGATGGAGGGGACTAGTGGGAGCTGCTGACCACATGGGTGGTCAGCTCAAGTACGTCTCTGGGAGGAGCTGCAGGAAAGGGATTCAGATGCACAAAGACCCTGCAGCCAGCTGGTGCGAGGAGAACAGCAGGCTGCTGACCAAGAGGGGTGCATGGGGTGGGCTCAGGGCCGACAAGGTGGAGGGGCTGGGGCTGAGCAGAGGAGGCTTGACCCGCCCCCTGCCAGGGAGTCAGTGAGGAGGCTGTGGCTGCGACCTCGCTGAGAGCAGAGCAGGATGGGCTGACAGGGAGGAGGACTGAGTGACACTGAGGCCTGCTGAGAAAGAGGTGGGGGGCAGGTTTGAGGCCACAGGAGGTGTAGCAGGTGCTTTGGACCTGTTATTTTTGAGGGGTGCACTCTTTTGAGGGGTGCACTGGACATCTAGGGAGGCGGTGAGAAGTGGAACATCCATGACGACTCATCTACCTGGAGTCAGCCTGAGACTCCGACTCCCAACCCTGGCCCCTCCCTCCCTCAACATCCTGGGAGGGTCAAACGCCCTTTGTGAAATGAGGGCTTGGAGCATCGATGCTTCTCAAAGGCAACCCTCAGCACCTGCATCAGAATCACTTGTTAGAATGCAGGTGTTCAGGCCCCTCCCAGATAAGGTGAGTGGGATCTCGGGACTTGCAATTCCCCAGGATCTCCCAGTGATTCTAAAGCCCTTGACCATCCACACTAGGGGGAGACAAGCTCGGGGTTCTTCCGTGGACATGGCCTGGCCTTGGTGAGAGAACCACAAGGAGAAGCTCAGAGGCTCAGCCCAACCTGCTGCTGCCCCTGCCATGCTTGGCACCCCCACAGCTCTGTGCTGGCACCAGGGAGAGGGAAGTGCTCTGCGCTGTACAGACATCATCAGCAGGGAGAGTAGAGAATGGGAAGGAGCTCTGTGGGGTGGCAAGAAGGAGGTTGGCACAGGTGCCCGCGATGCACAGAAGAAGCTCCTGACCTAGTGCAGGGCAGCATGGAGGCTTCCTGGAGGAGGTATCCCAGGGGAAGGAGACCTAAGGGAAGGCATAGGGTCACCCGAGTGTAAGTGGGAGTGGGGGGGAAAGCCACAGACAGAAAGACAAGCTTTCACAAAGGCCTGGATAGAAGAAAGTTACTGATCCGGGGGTCCGTGAATAGTTGGGTGCAGCCAGAGCCCAGAGTTTGAGGAGCGTGGGAGAGATGAGGCTGAAGAGGTGCAGGGCAGCTTGGGACCCGGTGGGCAAGGTGAGAGTGGGGGCTCACCCTGCAGGTAAAGGAGCCCAGCAGGGTTTCCTGCAGGGGCTGAGGGGGCACATCAGATTTGTCTTTGGAAAGATAGTGCCAGCGAGGAGCCAAGGCTGCCTCTAGGTGCAAGCAGTGGGGACTGAGGTAGGAAGCAACCGCCCTGGAAACTGATCGGATGTGTGGGGGAAGGGAGGCACAGCTGACCTGGCTTCCAACCTGATGGTCAGCCTCTAGGAGAAGGGAGCCTGAGGGAGCAGGAGAAGCAGGCTTAGACAGGTGGGTTGCTAGTGGGACATTGGGGAGCTGTCCACTAGCTACC